CTGAAGGATCATGTGACACTGAAGACTGCAGTAATGAATGATGAAAATTCAGCTTTGTATCACAGGAATAGATTATATTTTAAATTATAGTAAAATAGAAAACCATTATTTTAAATTGTAATAATTTTTCAAAATATTACTGTTTTTTTTCAATATTTTTGATCAAATAAATGCAGGCTTGATGAGCATAAGAGACTTCGAGTCCCACGGAGGATAAAAGGAGGAGTGACGACAGTGTTGGATGAGAGAGGACCAAAAAAAAACTTTATTTTGTGTTTTAGTTCTGTTTGTGCGCGACAGTCATCAGCGAGGGGCTGTCGCACTGTTTTGTGTTTATTTTATTATTAAAGTTTTGTTTAAATGTTCGCCGGTTCCCGCCTCATTCTTCCTCCCGGGTTTCGGCACCAATGTAACACCATTCGTAGGTCGGGAAGAAGGAGGCGCATTAGCCTTTACTCGATCGGCCTCGCTCCATTCCCACGGCTCTCGGCCCCGCCCCTCTCGTCACAGGGTCATATGATGCGATTTAAATGTTTCCTTTCTCTTTGAAGTGTTACAAGCTCTTGGTGCATAAAGAAGATCTGTAAAGTTGCAAAGACTAAAGTCTCAAATCCAAAGAGATATTCTTTATAAAAGTTAAGAGTCAGCCACGCCTACCTAAAACGACTCGTTCTAACACGCCCCCACATGTCTACATTACGATGTGGGAAGATTTGCATAACGCCGCCCAAATGTTCACGCAAAGAAAGAAGGCGCAACTTTCATTCTCGCTGTAATATTGTTGCTGCTGCCATGTTGTGAAGGCGCTGTGTGTTTCATTGTGAAAGCAAAACTACTTTGTTTGGCCTTCCAAAAGAGGACGATATCCGCTTTGTCATGTCTAGAGCTGATTCGTGCTGGTCGCTGAGAAAATACATCAACTTTGCGCTGTGGATCACTGGATTTGCTTTCACCGCGGACGAAGCGGAGTCCAGCCCGGGGTCGTCACATGTGGTTGCCGCAAGCCCTCCGGCCGCTCCTTCGTTGAATCCACCGGCCTCCGCTCACTCTAGCCGTCGGCCGTTGCTCACTCAAGGCTGCCGTGTGTGACACTGTGTTTCGTTGTGAAAGCAAAACTACTGGTTTCTTCTGGTCCTGAGCGGATTTGACGAAGTGATCATCTCAGAGCACCAAGCTCTGGTCTTACCTCGAAAATTGAGAGAGAAGAGCCAAAACTGCTTTCAGGGCCAGAGTGACTCGGCTGAGATCAGAAAGAACCCGGTGGCAGTAAAAGCATCTCGGGTAAGAGACTGTAAATTGTTTATTTTGTATGGTGTAATTCGATATGACTGTGAGTGAACCATAGTGGCTGAGACTATCTCTTTGGTGCGAGCAGAGAAGGTTTTTGAGCAGAATGCTACTAATGAAAAGTGTGTTTGTGTTTTCCAACATGCATCCGAGATCGGGTCAGCACCGCCAGCTTATAAACATCACTACCCCATGGCAGAGCTGACAGCCCTGAAACTGGACCACGATCTCGACTGCTCTCCGTTCCAAAGACCAGCACAAAATGCAGCACGAGTAGCAGCACAAGCGGCAGCACGAGCAGAAGCAGAAGCGAGAGGAGCGCGAGCAGCGGCAGACGCAGCAGTGCACATGCTACAAGCGCAAGAATTCCCACGAGCACCAATACCGCCAGTACAGCAGGCGGCGGTAAAATCCTCAGCGCTCGCTGCCACAGACAGCGAAGAAGAAAGGGAGGAGGACGAAGAACAGGAAGTTTTCGAGAACGAGTCTGAAATGGTTCCCAGCACAACTGATTCAGAAAGACCGAGCACCAGCAGGCCGAGAGTGACAAGATCAAAGACGATTAAAAGTGGAAAGATCAGCGTCACAGCTACGAAAGACACATAACAGCTCCGATGGTCGAAGTTGCGGGTCCGGATGGGCCAATGCTGGTCTTTAGAGCTTGGACAGTGTCTGATATGAGAGACGCGATGGCACATCTACCGGATCCGCAGGACGTGGCCGAGAGGTTTGCAAAAGAACTGCTTTTACTGTGCCAAGAGTTCAGCCCAACTTCACAAGAACTGAGACGGATGCTGGGTGTGAAAATGGGTCCCGCGAACTGGCATAGAGTGAGCGGAAAACTGGCGACAACGGACGTGAGACGTGTGCACACAGACTGGGACCATGTGAGCAACGAACCATACAGGAAAGAAGTGGAAAATTTCACTAACGCAGTAAGCGCAGCATTTCCTCCGCGTGTGGACACTGAAAAGATTACATACTGCACTCAGGAGAAGGAGGAGTCTGTCAGCAGCTATTATTACAGACTTTTTGAAACATTTGGAAAACACAGCAGCTTGACAGAGCCTACGGACAGAGGGAACAAACCAAGTATGTGGGAAAGCCTTCTATTGGGTTATTTTCTGAAAGGACTGAGACCAGAAATTTCAAGGGGAGCAAAGGCAAGTTACGTGGAGTGGAAGAACGGGCGCTTAACGTCAGCCCTGATGCACGCTATACACGCCGAAGACCAGCTGCAGGAAAAGAAAGACAGAAAACCACTCACAATGGCGGTTGTGCAATGTGAACCAAACAAGCCTGCAACTCAACAAAAGGCGAGAGGAAGAGATGACGGAAGGAAATGGCGGTGCTATGTGTGTGCTACGAACGACCATGCGCTCAGAGACTGTACCAAATGCAGAGTGTGCAGGAGAGACGGGCATTGGAGCAGTGCGTGCCCGAATGTAAGGTCTGATTGAAACGAAAGAGACGGAGAGCAGGACGGAGATGGTCCAGTTCGAGGAGGTCGGTGGCTGACTACGAGAAAGGGAAGTGAACATTTATTTCTAACACGCAAAACACGCAGAAACACAAAAACATACACTGATTTACTTTCTGCTATCTGCAATGAAGAATCTGCTTGCAAATCTTTGCGTGTTTTGAGCAATGTTGTGAATGATGAAATTTTGAGCAGTGTTTCTGATGAATGTTTAAAACTGTACAAAAGCATAGGGTTTTCTCAAATGCCAAGATACCCAATGATAGTCGAGGGAGTAGTAATTAACTTTTTAGTCGATTCTGGAGCATGTCAGAGCACTTTACGACCATGTGACTTGCCATGTGTGCCGAAAATGACAGGAAAAGTGAATGAAAGCACTTCGGCTTCAGGCCATTTGATCTCTGAACAATTCACAGAGCCCTTAGAGTGTGAGATGGAGCGGGGTAGAACTCTGAAACACGAGTTTCTCTGGTCGCCCAAATGTCCTGCGCCTCTAATGGCCAGAGATTTAATGTGTGAATTAAATTTGACCCTCAGTGCTGATTCCTATGGAATTAGCATTGAGGAAGCACCACAAATGACATGTTCTAAATTTGAGCCGCAGTGGGCTTACGAATGGCAGATAAAAGATGTTGATTGGGCAGAGATGATTTTGAAATTGGCTAAGGATCGAACAACACCAATCAACACAGAGTTTATGATGCCTGATAAAATGCATTGCACGTCACATGTCGTAGTAGAACGAGACTTAGAGTATGAAGAAACTTGGTTTAGTGGTGTGGAGAATGAAAGTGTGAAATTTGACAAGATTTTCTGGACAGAGAATGTGTGTGCACTTTCTGCCAGTTTGAATGAACAACAATTGCAGTGTTATTTAATGACAGAAGAGAATGTTCCCCACCTATCTGTGTCGAAGGTCATAAAGCAGCAGTGGAAGGATTTAGGGCTTTTTGTGAAAAAGTGCCTGCAGGCCACAGACTGGGCTGAAGTTGATACAGACATAGCACAGAGCAAAAGTGTTGGAGCATTTAAATCGAACTACAATTTTGATGTGCAGGTTTTGAGAACTGTGACTGCTGTTGTGAAGAATGATGTGACAAAACATGGGGTGGGGGCTATTTCTGCCTCAGACATTGATATTTCTTTGGCAGAAATACCGTCATAATTGTGGGCAGAGCACAAGTAAGATGTGGGTTTAATTAAGGGATGCGAGCCGGTTGTAATCACCCCCAAATCTAATTACAGACCGTGTCAAGCGCAATACCCCCTCAAACGTGAAGCATTGCAGGGCATAATGCCAGTATTTGATTCTCTGTTGAAGGAGGGAATAATTATACCATGCAATGATTCACCAGTGTGCACACCAATTTTTCCTGTAAAAAAGATTTGAGATAAGGGTCAGCCAACAGAGTGGCGATTTGTGCAGGATTTACAGGCTGTAAATTCAGCTGTCATTGCCAGGGCAGCACGAGTGCCAAACCCTTATACTATTTTGTCACAAATTCCACAAAATGCAACGTATTTCACTGTGGTGGATTTAGCTAATGCTTTCTTTAGCGTCCCAGTGTGGTCCAAATGGGTCGAGGCCTTCCCAACATCGAAACAAGACGTGGCAGCAGTAGCAAAGGCTCTGCTAACAGAGATTGTTCCGAGATCGGGAATCCCAAGAAAAATCAGTTCTGACAATGGAACACATTTTGTCAATGAGGCAATAAAACAGGTGGGTCAGTTCTTAGGAATTGATATGAGAACACATTGCGCCTATCACGCCGCCAGCGGAGGCGCTATAGAACGGGAAAATCAGACAGTAAAGAACAAATTGGCAAAGTGTTGTGAGGAAACCGGACTCTCATGGGTGAAAGCACTCCCAACCGTGTTAATGTATATGAGAATGAGAAAGAGAGTCAAAACAAATTTGAGCCCATTCGAAATTCTCTTTGGTAGACCACCATTCATGGGAATAGAGGGGGGAAAACGCAGGCTTACATCAATGGATGTGTGTGAAAATGAAATGTTGAATTACTGCAAAGAAATGTCTTGTCTGTTATCCAACATTTCTGTGCAGGTGAAAGCTGCCCAGAGGAAGGTTGCTGAGACGTTTCAGCATAAGATCAGGCCGGGGGATTACATGGTAATTCGTGACCTGAGGAGGAAGGACTGGAGGGCGAAACGGTGGCGAGGGCCATTCCAAGTTTTGCTGATAACACACACGGCGGTGAAGGTCGGAGATAGAGCTACGTGGGGGCACGCCAGCCACTGCAGGAGAGTTCCGCCCATATCGGAAGGGCAACAGGAGGAGCAGCCTCAGCAACAACAATAACAAGTTCAACAAAAAAGCCCCAAGATCGAGCCCAAACACCAAGTGCAAGAGCAAGGTCACTCAGGAGGAGTGATAAGGCCGGTGTGCAGAGTAAAGCCATTTGTGCAGCCACAACCAGAGACATTGATCATTGCAAAGAGGTACGAACTGACAAACCTTACAGATTTACTGGCAGCAGATCCCTATATTTTAGCAACAGTGATGAGCGTAGCAAAATACGAGCTGCGGGGAGGAAACTGGGAAAGGAAGACAGTTACTGTGGATCAACAAAAGCTGATAAGACTCTGAGTGTGCTAAAGACCAAATTATCTAACACAATGCATCATATTCAGCTGCAATCACTAGACAAGATGGATCGTTCAAGACCGTGGTACCCATTCAGACTGCCAGGAATGTGTGGACTTTGTAAGACTACATTAATTTTGACTTTGATATCAGTGACTATTTGTTTGATAATTTTGTGCTTCATTGAGGGCTTGAAAGTATGGTCTGTGGAAAAACACACCAACTGGACTGAAACAGTGTTAAGCAGCATCATCAGACAACGTAAAAAAAGAGACACATTCACGGAAGTGGAGTCGGTGAGAGGACTGTACGAAAACACCATCACAATAGAGGAGGGATCAAGTGTGACTTTCAAGTGCAACCCATTCCAGGAGAACTGTCTCGGGTGCGATGGACATACTGAGGAGTACGCACCTTTCTACATCTGCGAAAGTCCATGTAAATGGACCGACGTGAAAGCATACGCTTATAACTACAAGTCAGGATACGATGAAAGATTTCGGGTGCATGCTGAAGACAAACTGAGTAACAACAGGTACAGGATGAGAGTGGAATTGAAACATGCAACACGTGCTGACCAAGGCAGATATTACTGTGCCCTGGACTTGACTGGGACTGACTGGTATGAGACAATAGACATTATGGTAGTCAAGGCAGCCAGACCATGGACCGCAACGACGATGACACCTTTCTTGTCACCTGTGTCACCTGAGGTCGAACAAGCTACTGAAGAGGAACTGGCCTGGATGGGGGATGGAGACACAAGCAAAGGTCAGGTAAATCCTGAAGTACAGAAAGCCATGATGAAATGCCAGGGGAACAAAGCCTGCGCGCTGGCAATACTGCAGAAAGAGGAACTGAAGATCAAAACGAGCTGCTGGATGTGTCTGCAAATGTCTCATGCCTGGAAAACTGTCCCTCTGACGGCAGCAACAGCCAACGAAACTAAGTGTCTTATTCCTCAACAAATGACTGATGTGCTAAAAACTGTTGTGGACCTGGAGGAAGGAAGGACACCAACGAAACAGCCTGCTGACGACTGTGACCACATACAGCAATACAACAACACTGATATAGCAATTCCACCTTTGAGGGTAACATATGCCCAGGGTGATGTTTGTGTCTGTTTCAACAGACCGAGAATGTTAAAGACCGGATGGTCTGACTGCAGGATCAAAATCAACGTACAGGACGGAACAATGAGCAATTGTACAGCAATCATCAACAACAAAGAAATCAACTTCACATGTTCATTCCACAAACCGAACGAAAGTTCACCAGCCGCGGTGTGGGTGTGTGGCGACAGAGCTTATCACCGTTTGCCTAAAAAAGACTGGTCAGGTTGCTGTTATCCAGCTTTGATGAATGTGGGGACTTTACCACGCAAAGTAGGTAAGAGGGAGAGACGAGACATTAAGATTTTGCCTGGGGCTTTGCCAAATCATTATGCGGGGTACACACTAACTGATCCGTGGACGACACCAGGAGCAAATATAGGTTGGTCCATTTTCTTAGGGGTGGGTACAGCAGTAACGATTAACAAGATTAATGGGTTAGCATGGACGGTATTAGCAATGGTCAATAGCTTGATAGTTGATATGCTTACGGCAGAAAGGGGCGGAGTGTGTAAGATGCTGGGGGTATCTTGTTGTTTTAACATTCCTGATTACAGTGATAATATAACCAACATAATTTAACACATAAGAGAGGCCGTAAGAGAATCTGAGCGGACTGACAACCTGTGAGCCAGGTGGGTTATGTCTTTGTGGGGTGGATGGATAATTCTGTACTGGATAATTCAAACTGTTCTGCATCCAAATGATGAGTGCTAAGGGAGGGAACATCAAAGATCACACAACAGAAGTGCACCCGCTGTCTCTCTCCCTCTCTCTCGCTCTCTCCCTACCGTTAAGTAACTTGTGCATTGTTTACTTACTTGTTTTTGACATATCTGACCGAACTACAAACTTTCCAGTGATGGCTGCGAGAAAGATATATTCACTCGACAAGCTCGCGCATCTGCGCCGCCGCGCGCCCAATCCACTCAGCATGCTTTGTTTTATCAGCTGAATGTTTAATATTATATTCATTGCATACATATACTTTGTAGTAGACACCCTTAACTCATTTCTGTTGTTGGTGAAACAAACTGATGCAGTCAGAGGACATGGACCTTCTAAGTGCAGTCAAATTAGTTACATGTGCTTCAGAATGTCTTACGAAATTGCGCAGTGAATCTGACTTCTTAGAGCTGTGGGAGAAGGCCGACGACACTGAAATGCCAAGACCTCCCAAACGAAAGCGGACCATCAACAAAGGCCTTCAAGAATATCTGCTGGAGGAAAGCATTGGCCAGGCTCAAAGTGATTTGGGAAATCAAGAAGAGCTCAGACGATTATACTACAGTACTTTGGACGCAGTGCTTGCAGAAATCTCAGAGCGTTTCGGAGAAAGAAATAGCAAGTTAATTGAAGCTCTTTCAGCTTTTGATCCACAGTATGACAGCACTTTCTTGGATGCGCAACTCGTACAAGATATGATGAACTTAACTAATTCGGAAGTGATTCATTCAGAATTTGTTGTGGCCCGACAATTCCTGCGTAAAGTACTGGCTAGATCGATTTCTAGTGGCGAGAAATTAACACTTAAACAAATACTCCAGGAGCATCATACCACGCTTGAAGCTATGCCTAGTGTACTCGCTGCAATGAAATGTGCGCTGACATTTGGAGCTTCTACAGCTACATGCGAAAACTCATTTTCTACTCTGAAAAATGTGTTCACGGACAAACGAAGGAGCATGCTACATCAGCGAAAGGCCCATTTAGTGCAACTGGCATTTGAAAGAGACTTGACAAGAAAATTTCGGGATGAATGGAAAGATACTCTACTGAAAAGGTTCAACGAGAGTAAGCGCCGCAGAGCTGTTCTAGCAGGTTGGTGTTATTTTATTTATTATAGAATGCGTAATTTGTTTATAACGTCATCTTATTTTAATCGTGACTTTAAATGTTTGCGTAAAGTTTGAAGCAGTTCTGATGTGCATCGGGCCAGTGCAAAATCATAATAAATTTTTCTTCTTTGCGAATAGTGACGATGATTAGTAATACTAATAACTTTTTTTATAGGCTAAATTAAATTATATCGATACCAAACGCCCACTGACACTTACGCTATGTGCCCCCCCCCCCCGTTAAAATGTTCTGGCGCCGGGACTGTGTACCATAGAGCAAAAAAAGTGAAAGTAACAAAAACTTGTAAAATACATTTTAATGGGCATAATTAAGTGTGAAAATAACCGAAGGATATACAGTGAAACCAAAAATTATTCAGAGACCAGATATAATTTTTGATATTGTTTTACTAGTGGGTGCAGGACACTATAGTTCATTTATGTAAGTGAGGATAGCAAAATAAAGTAAACTGTGACAAATCATACCCAAAAATTCTTCATACAGTGGACTACCAGTAAAACTGATACAAATTTGGGTCCAAAAATTATTCAGACCGAGTCTGGGAAAAAAAATGAAGTTGAGGTTTTCATGAAGCTGGATGACAGCATGCCCAGGAGACTACAGGCTGTCATTGAGGCTAAGGGTTGCCTGACAAAGTATTCATAGTTGTGTAAATACTGTCATACTAACAGCTGTCTGAATTATTTTGGTTGATTGTAATCTATTACATACCTTTCTATCAAAATTATCTAGCATTATCAAGATGAATTTGTTCTGACACAGTTTAACTCTGAGTTCTTGTCATATTTTACCATCTTCTAAACTATAGCAAATAAACTGTGATAATGTGAGAAATGTTGAAGGTGTCTGAATAAATTTTGGTTTGACTGTATCTATTTGATAAATGAAGTTAACCAACTAACATTATACATACCCTTTTGGTTTCTGTACCCAATATTTAAAAAATGTACAAATGCAATAAAAATATCGGTATCGGCAAGTACCAAAAATAAAAGTATCGGTATCGGGCGAGTACTGGAAAAAGTGGTATCGGTGCATCCCTACACCAAATACATAAAATAATGTTCTTTTTAGCAACATCATATGACCCCTTTAACAAAATGGATATACGTTGCAATCCGATAGATAAGACCCCAGCACCCACCTGAGCAAATATCATAATTTAGTCATTTGATAACTGCTGTTACTTTCTCCACTTCATCAGTCCCAGCGGCAGCGTAACAGCTTGTTAATTCATGTTTGTGCAATGATGAGATGGACAAAGTTAGCCGATGCATGCCATTTTACTCTCTCGTGCAGATAAAATTTGTCGAAGTTACAGTGCACAAAAGCCCCTGGGTGGACTTACCTGAATGAACTGAAATAAAAGCAAAATATAAATGTTCTTTCTCCGTTTTCTGAATTACACAGCACAGCGAGAGCACACGTCACACGAGCAAATTTCTCCGAACTACACTACCCATAATGCATTTCACTAGTGTTGGGTCTTCTTGAACGATTCGTTCATTTTGAATGAATCTTTAATGTGACTCGGGAAGAACGAGTCGTCTCGGGGAGTGATTCATTCAGTCACGCATGCACAACATCCTATAGGTTCTGTACTGGAATTAGTCAGAGCCATGGAAAGAGAAAAACGACTCGGAAAAACCCGAAGACTCGAGAGATGAACTAATCAATTCTCTTTCCGGCTCAGACTGCATAGGTTAAACTTATGGGGCTGTCACGTGATGAATGAACGACTCGAAAAACCCGAAGACTCGAAACAGGTGAACTACTTGACTAATTCCAGAGCTGTAGAGATTACGGTAATTATGATATGGTGTGAACGCAGCAAAACTGTTACAGCCGTAGATAGTGATCTTCAGCGTCTCCCGCAACGCTGTCATTGATATGACTGCGATAAGCGCGTGCAGCTGAAAATCAACCACACACTCATCACAGTGAAACATCGACCTTAGAAATAACGAAGTGAACACTAGGATAATCTCCGATGTATATGGCGAACCCCCGTTGAAATGCATACACAAGAATGCTTATTTCATTTAACCTGTTTCATGTCCGTTACTATCGGCGTGTCCTCAGAGCAATTACATATGCTCTAAACTGCGTTTTGCTCCAGCTGTATAAACACAGATGCTAAATGATGCTGCTAATATGCTTAATATCCACTCCTGCATACAATGCAAACTGCTAACATGACACCTAGTATAAACTTGATTATGGTTGCTCATTTTTTAACTCAATTAGGCAGACCACGCAATACACACAGCGATATGGATTAGAAGAGCATTCACTTATCTTAGATGATGAGTTTGCTGTTCTGAAGCAAGCTGCAACTGCTACGGCAAGCACTAGTCATATATTTGAATGTTGAGCAGCGAGTTCATTGGCTACCGATACAGAAAAGAACCAATCAGCTGTGCCAGTTGATAATGATGTCATTAGGTCAGATTGAGTTAGACCTATCGGACTGCGCCATTTAGAGTTTCATGCCAGAACTCTGTATATGTCCAAACATTGGACCGGTACCATATAAGTAAAAATATACATTTAAAATTAAATGTTGTATAAATAAAAAGGATTGGAATTCTTTGTTTCAATTGCTTTTTATTGGGGGGTGGGGGGCCTCCAACATTAATTTTGCCTAGGGCCTCCAAATGTCTAGAACCAGACCTGAGTCTACCTAAAGACATATCTCGCCTCACTAACGTGTTTTCTAAACAAGCACACACCTGAACTAATGTAACAGCATTCATTCACAAAGTTTTTGTTTTTTAAAGCTGTTGTTATAACCTTTTAGCGTTTGACTGTACCATCTGTGGTACACTGCATGTTTTTGAGGCAGTGCTTGAAGTGGGCACCGGTACGCATTACCGGCACTTCAATATTTTAGTCTTTATCTTACCAGCACTTTTTCGTGGGTACCGGCACTTCTGACAAGTTGCCAGTACTGAGTCAAAGCGTCAGTGTCTGGGTGATTAGAAATGACACTATAAAGCACACTACCCAGGAGTCATTTGAAACCGGTAAAATTCAGAAAATTCAAGGATCTAGTAAGGGAATGCATTAAGTAATAAGTTCAAAACAGCGCAAATGCAGAGAAAACACAGACGATTTCTTCAGTGATGGTGAAGAGAATAGCGACTCGCGTCCAAATGGCAGTAAATTATTATTTTCAGCGTGTATTTGGCTTAAAAGCACGAGTGTTTTATAATGAATGCCGACTGAAGGTGTTTTAGATTATGCGCTGGCCAGTGGTTCAGTTATTCTGAATGGCACGCAAGCAGCGTACGCTCTTCTGTGTCAGCCACGTTGCACGGATGTGCAGTTTTAGTTCAAATCAAAGCGTAAATACACATAGGAAAACGTATTCTTGTGTCGCGACTGACAGAATAGTGTATGCTGCTTGCGTTCAGTGGTTATTCTCCAAAATGGCGCTACGTTGATGCGGAGAGACACAGAGGAGACAAATTGTTTAATAAAGTCGTTATTTTTGTTTTCTTCGCGTACAAAAAGTATTCTCATCACTTCATAACGTTACGGTTAAACCACTGATGGCAGATGGACTATTCTGACGATGTCTTTCATACTTTTCTGGACCTTGACAGTGTAATTTACTAGGCAGTCAATGGGACAGTCACAAGCCTCCCGGTTTTCATCCAAAATATCTTAAATTGTGTTCCGAAGACGAACAAAGCTTTTACGGGTTTGGAATGACATAGGGGTAAGCAATTAATGACAAAATTTTCATTTTGGGGTGGAGTAACCTTTT